TTCCCTACGCATTACTCAATTGTATAATTTGTAAGAGTAAGTATTTATACAGCTATACTATAGATTTAAACCCAAGTAAGATGCAAAAAAAAACAGCTAACAAAATAGAAACATTTATCAACCCAAAATTATATTTAGTTCATAATAATTACTTTCACTTGCTTATTTGGTTGAGTTTATCATTAATGACAAATTGACCTACATTGAATACCAGCAAGGGTCCTTGTTTTAGTGTTTAACAAGTACCAACAAATCAACAATTGGCTCGTACTCTTTCTCTAATATTTCGGCACTTTTCTGTCAATAATATTTCAGCATTTATATACATTTTTTGTTTCATTGGCAACTTCTTTTAATAGAATTGTTTCTTCTTCTTTTATTGTCTGCCACCGAAATTTAGCGGGAAGATAAAAACCGTAACGAATTATATCACGAGACCATACAAAGAATAGGTACATGAATTTCAAAATAGTTACTATCATTAAAGCATAAATTTTCTCTGAAAATGAAAAAATCTTATAATTTATCTACAAAAAGCAAAAAACAATCTTCCTGTTATCGATCAATTCTCTTTCTCTAGGAATGAAAATATAAATTTGTAGATTTGGGCCGGTCTATTCATACTAAATGCAAACCATCTATCAACTACCAGACTACATTAAATGTTACAACACAACTTCTTCTTTTTTTAAAAAATTGGAAAATTCACCACATCAACAAAATTGGACCCCACTTCCTTCTTAATTTTCATTCAATTCTTCTCCCAACCATCTCTTTGCTGTCTTCATAACTATCTCATTTCTTGTTCGAATCAAGAAACTGTTTTCACAAGATTTTTATAAATCTTCAAGATAAAAGTAGAGAATAAACCAAACAAAAAAAACAAGAAGAAGAAGTGTTTGTTCTGTTTCAGTCATCCAAGTTCATGAGAATAGAAACGAGTCCAAGTTTGTTGTTCATGCAAAATTCTCATGACTCTGTTACACTAAGCTCTTTTCTCCTGAATTTCTCCTACTTATATTTCATTCGATAATTTTTCTTTCTCTTTCAAATTCAAAGTTCACACCTTTTCCATTTCCTCGACAAACCCTTTTTTCCTCGGATTTTGTGTTTTTTTTTTAAATTAAAACAAAAAAAAATCCTCTGTTTTTGGTTACTAAATGGAGATAGAAGCAAGCAGGCAACAAACCACCGTACCGGTTTCGGTCGGCGGTGGGAATTTTCCGGTGGGTGGTTTAAGTCCGTTGAGTGAAGCAATATGGAGAGAGAAAGCTCCAACGGAGTTCGTCGGAGATGTGTCGGCGAGGCTTACGTGGCAAGATCTGACGGTGATGGTGACTATGGGAGATGGTGAGACTCAGAATGTTCTAGAAGGTCTTACTGGTTACGCCGAACCGGGATCTCTCACGGCTCTCATGGGTCCTTCCGGCTCCGGAAAATCAACCATGCTCGACGCTCTCGCTAGCCGCCTCGCCGCAAACGCTTTTCTCTCCGGCACTGTTCTTCTTAACGGCCGCAAAACCAAACTCTCCTTTGGAACTGCTGTTAGTACACACAATCTTTCTACTTTATCACAAAAAGTTGAAAATTTTCAACTTTATATAAAAAAAGTTACAATCTTTCAAACATGCTTTATGCATAGGTTTCAGTTATAGCTTTGCATTTTTGTCTTGGTATGAAATATTAGAATGTTCCTGGATTTTGGATCTTAGCTATTCATAGGAAATTGTGTTGGAATTTTTTTTGTTTTGGTATATTTTCTCATGTAGTGATTTTTTTCTCAACCTGGTTATTATTTACAGGCATATGTGACACAAGATGATAACTTGATTGGTACGTTAACTGTGAGAGAGACGATTTGGTATTCAGCAAGAGTTCGTCTTCCGGACAAGATGTTGCGGTCGGAGAAGCGTGCCCTAGTGGAGAGGACAATAATAGAGATGGGTCTTCAAGATTGTGCAGATACTGTTATAGGAAACTGGCATTTGCGTGGGATTAGTGGTGGAGAAAAGAGAAGAGTTAGTATTGCTCTTGAGATTCTCATGAGGCCTCGTTTGCTCTTTCTCGATGAGCCAACAAGTGGTCTTGATAGGTGAATCAGACAGCTTCTGAATCTTTTCTGCTTCTGTAAACTGAATTAAGCTTGATGCTTGTTTTGGTTTTTCTCTGTGTAGTGCTTCAGCTTTCTTTGTGACTCAGACATTGCGTGCGCTATCACGAGATGGAAGGACGGTGATTGCCTCTATCCATCAACCGAGTAGTGAGGTTTTCGAGTTGTTTGATCGATTGTATTTGCTTTCTGGAGGCAAAACTGTTTACTTTGGTCAAGCTTCAGAAGCATACGAGGCAAGAAACCAAACCAAAAGAGAACATTATTCTCTCAAGAAACCATGAAACTAACTAACTCGTTGCTTTTACTTACCGATGCAGTTTTTCGCACAAGCTGGGTTTCCATGTCCTGCTTTAAGGAACCCTTCTGATCATTTCTTGAGATGCGTAAACTCAGACTTTGACAAAGTTAGAGCCACTTTGAAAGGATCTATGAAGCTAAGGGTACTGAAAACCTTACCTTTTAAATGCTTTCGATTCTCTGGAATTCTTATTTGTTGATTAACTTGTTATTCTACTTCTCAGTTTGAAGCAAGCGATGATCCATTGGAGAAGATTACCACAACTGAAGCTATTAGAGTCTTGGTGGACTATTACCACACTTCTGACTATTATTACGCTGCAAAGGCCAAGGTTGAAGAGATATCCCAATTTGTAAGTACTACTCTTCGTTCATTTCTCGAGCTTTTGTTTGATGTTGGGACGCATCACTGGTCTCTTTTAACCCGATTCCACGCTACAGAAAGGAACAATTCTTGACTCTGGAGGCAGCCAGGCTAGTTTCCTCCTGCAGACATACACTTTAACCAAGCGATCCTTCATCAACATGTCAAGGGACTTTGGATATTACTGGCTCAGACTTCTTATTTACATTTTGGTCACTGTCTGCATTGGAACCATCTATTGGAACGTCGGGACTAGCTACAGCGCCATTCTGGTATATGCCAATTTCATCTGTTAGAGAGAAATTCGAACTTGTACTGAAGTTTTTATCTTACCTCTCACCATGTCCGTCCTTTCGCTGTTTGTGAAATCAGGCACGGGGCTCATGTGCATCTTTTGTCTTTGGCTTTGTAACATTCATGTCAATTGGTGGATTTCCTTCGTTTGTTGAAGACATGAAGGTTAGTCAGTCACTCCCGCAGTTATCTTGCGCAAACGGATGAAACAAACAGGTTTGTTAAACTGAAACTGATTGCAGGTCTTCCAAAGAGAAAGACTAAACGGGCACTATGGAGTAGCTGCGTTTGTGATAGCCAACACATTAGCTGCAACGCCGTTCTTAATCATGATAACTTTCATCTCCGGGACAATCTGTTACTTCATGGTGGGTCTGCATCCAGGATTCACTCACTACCTCTTCTTTGTTCTATGCCTCTATGCAAGTGTCACCGTTGTGGAGAGCTTGATGATGGCGATTGCTAGTATTGTTCCCAACTTCCTCATGGGTATCATCATCGGTGCTGGAATTCAGGTGCTTCCTCGTCCACTTTCATCATAGATTTCTTTTTTTTCTTATCCTCTTTTTTAAAGCAGAAGAGAAACTCTTCTTAAATCTGCTTGATTGTACTTTTGTTTCAGGGGATTTTCATGCTGGTTTCTGGATTCTTCAGGCTTCCAAATGACATCCCAAAACCTTTCTGGCGTTACCCGATGTCATACATCAGCTTCCACTTCTGGGCGCTACAAGTAATAACGTTGAAACTGCACAAGAAACATTTCATATCAGCTAATAATCATGTGATCATAATATTGGTTTGTTTTGCTTGTTCTTCAGGGTCAATACCAGAATGATCTGAGAGGCTTGTACTTTGACAGCCAAGGGAGTGCTTTCAAGATTTCCGGTGAATACGTTCTGGAGAACGTCTTCCAGATCAACTTGCAGCGATCAAAATGGATTAACCTCAGTGTGATTC